TGCACACATTATACATGCATACATAAAAAGTGGCATCATCCTGCACCTTGTGCCTTTTGTGGTTCCTGCCCAAAATCAGGACATGCATTTACCCACCACTGCCATGACATAAGTTATATCACAAAATAATTTTGGTGATAACTTTGAAGGTCAAATAAACACAACACAAACAACAATGTACAGTTTACACCATCAGCAAATGTAGAGAATAAGTCTAGCAACACATTTGCATCATACTGTGGCCCATGGTTAAACAACATGGACTACTAATACATGACAAGTGATAGCTAACGTAATACTGTAATTTTCATTTGTACTACAAACTTGGTACTTAGCCATATAATTCATTTTATCATGTTCATTGTGTCCCACAACCATCATTATAACACTATAAAACTAAACATTCATTGTCCCACTTACGGGTATAGAAATAATAGCTTTCTTGCTTTTCCTTTCCATTTAGCAATGTCACACACGGTCCTTTTATTGCCATAGAACATAGAACTTTGACTCTCCATTAAAAGTATTTTATTTATGATCTTGAAGTAATCAAAATGATAGCATAAAGTAGCTTTAATAGTAGTCCAGTAAAGATTTCCAGCTAAAAACAAAGTACAACCTAAGTTCAGCCATTTTCTTGGGTAGCACCTTTTCCGGTTGCAAAGAAAATTCTTCCGGTTTAGGGAGGGTGCAGTTCGGCTGAGATAGTCATACACTCGGCCATTTTTGTTTAACATTCACGTGATAATCATGTGACACAGATTGTCACAATGACGAAATTGTGACGATCTGAAATCTGATTGGGACTTCTTTTTTTGGTTGCGCGGAACAAGGGCAGGTAAGTCAAAATACCAGACCCTTCCCCGCCGTCCACCCCAATGACTGTAGGCTGGGGAATGGTCTGGGCGGCGAGACTACTAGATAGTGCTGTAAAGTTAAATAGTAATAATAATAATAATATTGGAGGATTATTTCAACTGCAAGCCCCACCTGAATAGCAAGGATAGGGACAAATTCATTTTAGAATGACATGTCAATAAAAATCTTAATTTGCTATTATATCATAGATATCTATGATTATAGAGTATTGATCTTGAAGATGGTGATTGCACAGTTGCAAGCTCAGCAACAATTGATGGAGTCCTTAAAATGGTATCCGTTCATACTGTATGAAAGTCCTGCACTGACGCCTTACAATATACTTTTTAAGCTCTTGCAATGTGTAGGTCAATCAAATAAATAGAAATATAGAAAAGATACAGCAGAACCTTGATGAAATGAGACAAATTCAAGAAAATGTTCTTGAATCCAGTGGTGAGTCAGTGAGTGTATATATATAACCATTTAATATAAAAAATTCTTATCTTTGTAGCTAATAAGAAACGATCAGAGCTGACCAATGAAATAAAACAAGTTTCACTAAATATTCATAAAGAATTGAAAAGTATTTTACTGCAGTCTATTCTCCCTATCCCTCACTGTTTTTAACTATATTCTTCTATTCCTTGAATGTCTAAGGGTTGAATGAAGAAATAAAGAGTGCCAATGAGTTGGGATCAAACGGACATGACGCTGAGTTGAGGATCAAAAAAGCTCAAGTAAGTTTAAAAAGAGACAAAAGTACTATCAGTATGTACCAGCCAGAGGAGAATAGTAAAAATTAATACTGACACATAGGAAGCAGCATTAAGACAAAAGTTAAAGAGACTCGTGTTAGAATATAAACAGCTGGAAGAGCAAAACAAAGAAAAGTACAGGGGGATGCTTAGAAGACAGCTACAGATAGGTAAAAGTATAAATACATTAAATCTATAATTATTATCTATTTTAATTAATCAACTGATTACAATAGCTGGTATTCACGATATTTCGGATGATAGACTTGAGGAAATGGTTTCACCAATTGAGAATGAAATAGCCTTAATACAGGAAGATGTGAGTGCATAGAGATGATGATTCATTTACAAAATTACTTGAAAAAAGTTTTTCATGTACATTGTATTTGAGTTTCATAGACAATGTACTACTTATATAAAAGAAGTTTGTTAATTGTGATAGCACTACCATTTTCACCCTATACTTATAATTGTTTTTTCTCAGATATTAAAAGAAAGACAAACACTTGAAGAGGTCGAAGCAAGAAAGATCTTCCAACTAGAAAAAAATGTGAAAGTAAGTATTATCTTACACACAACTATTGGTCAGTCTGAGAAATCTTTTATCAGGAGCTCCATGACATGTTTCATGAGATGATAGTGCTCCTAAATGATGAATCACAGGTGAGACAACCACCCATCAATCACAAACTAACCACCACACCCTCTTATTAGGATGAGAATGACCTTATAGCAGACAATATTGAGCACAATGTAGAAAACACAAAGGATTATGTACCAAAAATCACAGAACCGATAGAGATAGCAAGAGATTATACCAGAAAAAAACATAGAGTAAGACCACACTTAACTATCAAACACTCTCATCCACTTTCCTCCCCATCTATAGTTAAAATGGATGATGTGTGGAATTGCTACAATAGTGATAGTTATATTTCTCCTAATCATAACCCTACCTGTTGCCCTAGTGATTATCATAATAATAATTATTATTGTGAGTATTGCTGTTGGCATTGGCTCTTGTCGACATCAAGAGACTCAAGACAATTGAATATTGAGTTTTTGTGTACGAGTGACACAATAATATGCATGTACTTACTACTATAGATAAAAATAATTTGTAGTAAAATAGAGTTTTTAGAAGTAATTTTCATTGATTGAAATTGCCTAATGACAAACAGAATCAATTGCTTTGACTATCAGCTATTATAACACTAGGAAGGTAACTCCAATCAATAGTCTCACAAAAAGTGTGATATTCTACCACTTTCATTTTTTAATAATAAGTATTAATTAATTAATAAGTTAATTAAAATTACTTGGTAGAGGATTTTTGTTTTTTCATTTCTTTATTATATTCTTCTCTCTTTTCCTTGAGCTCTCTCACCTAAAAGAAATTAAAAAACAACTTACACAATGGACACAAAACAAAAAATAATGAACTGTTAGATCATTATCAGTACAAAAATTCCCCTATCAAACATGACTACAAAAACTTGGAAACTCACCCTTCTTGATTTCTTATTCCTCTTCTCCATTATCCTGTCATACAGTTTCCGTCTGGTCCTAGTCATCATCATCACTGCTAGTTTCCTCTCCTCTCTCTCTTGCTTGGCCTCGGCCTCCATTCTCTGAGTCTCCTCATCTTTCTCTTCACTCTCTCCATCTCCTTCAACCACAGAGCCTACTGGTAGATTAATGGCAGGTACAATCTATAATAAACAAAGAAATGGAAGAATAGGCAAATAGTTTGTGAAACAATGTTGAGTGATGTTAAAGAGAGAGAGAGGGCGGAAAGATTCATTCAAAAGCTAACAGGTAATTTTCTTCTTTTAGGCGAAGGAGGTTTTAAAGCTTCAACATCTTCATCTTCCTCACCCTCTCCCTCATCCTCCCTCTCCTCCAAGTCTTCCTCCTCCTCCTCTCTCTCTTCTAAATCCTCATCTTCCTCCTCTCCTTCCTCTTCCTCTTCTTGTTCTTCGGTTTTATCTTCTGCCAGCATCATCTTGTCCGGTGGTATGTAATCACCTTCACCGTCTCTTGTGAAAGGAGAGAGATGAGGAGGGAGGGAGGCCTGAGGTGAGTACTTGTCTGTTGGCAGGAGTTTACGGAAATTGATACTATCATAGACCCACTGAGGCTGTATGTAGACCCTAGAAAAAAGAAAAAAAAATAAAGGGCATATACACAAAGAATAAGATTAAGAAGAAACAGTATGAGAGAGTGAGACAAGGTATGAAAGCATACAATAGTAACAATAATAAACATTTAAGACTACATCAACTATTCTACAGCAGACCAGACCTTGATAAGTAGAAATGGTTCATTGACAGTCTATCAACAATCTCATGCGTTATATGCTCGTCTGATTCAGGATAAGTAGAACCACGCCCACAAAATGGGTCCCAGGAAACGCTCCCACCAAAACACCTTTAAAGAAGTGACAAACCTTTTTTCTACATGTAAAATTAATAATATCTACTTGATTATGAAAGTGAGCGATTCTTTGGGAACTTCACGAGAGAGGAAGAACTTGAGACCTTCAAATAAAGTTTTAAATTCGTCGAGTTTCTCTCGTTCTTCTCTTGCTTTGTCACGGTGAGCTTGCTCCTCCGGCTAGTAAAATAAATTACTTATAATTTAACTTTATTTGATTATTACGTCTAAATCTGTTGGTATATCTTCCTCAGTTAGGTCATCAGTATCAGCTAGGAAAAGAAAAAATACAGTTTCAATGTTAATCATTTTTTATTATTATTATCAATATCGCCAGGGTTTTCTACAAAGCATGCTACGTTAGCTAAAAGCATGCTTCATGAGTTATAACAGCATGTGCAAGTACAGCTTTTGGAGTAACTTTAAAAATTCATAAAAAATCTAATTTTGATCAGAATCAGCTCAAACTTTCTACACAACTTAAGAACATGTATATGCATCAGAAAATATTATTAAAATAAAGAATTCTCTCCTAGACATTTTTGATGAAATTTGGCCCGTGACCCTGTACTATAGTACAGGGACTTTTGCCTGATTTTGGAGTAACTTTAAAAATTCATAAAAAATTTAATTTTGATCAGAATCAGCTCAAACTTTCTACACAACATAAGAACATGTATATGCATCAGAATAAATTATAAAAACAAAGAATTCTCTCCTAGACATTTTTGATGAAATTTGCTCAAAAATTGGAAATAGAAAACTCTGATTAACATAACACTAACCTGTTGGTGTTTCAGGGATCTTAACAAGAGAATGAGAGAGAGACTCTAGAAGCTACACACAACACAGATAATAAGAATGTGCATAAAATAGAACACTCACTTCTCTATATTCCCCTTTGTCTCCATCATTTTCATACTCAACTTCATTTGGATTGACTAGGAGTGAGGGCAGCTGGAGAGAAAGCTCAGTAGAAAAATATCCCTCCAACTAAAAATTGAAGAAAGCAAGTTACATATATAAATATAATCATGTTTGGTAATAATTCTGTACATGTAGCATAACAAGATAGATATCAAGAAAATGTAAAAAATTGGAGTAATTTTGGAACCAATTTTTAGAAAAAAAACATGACAATTGCTATAAAATGATGAGCCACACCCACTAATGCTCACCTGAGGTGGATAACGCAAGTTGAGAGAATGAAACAGTCTAAAGTTGACAAACGTCAGTAGTGTTGTATAGAACTCGACAAAAGTGTTCATGATACGAAAATCAACTTCCCTTGGAATCTAAGAGAGAAAATATAAAGGAAAAATAAGGGAAGTGTATCCAAAAGAGAAGACAAAAAGAAACTATTTCTTACTCTTTGAGGAAACTGATGCGGTGTAAGCCATGTTATAGTCTGCCCTTGTATTTCAGCTTGATAATAAATACCTTTAATTGATATGAAAACCTACACATACAATAATAATAATAATAATAATAATAATAACAACAACAACAGATGATGATAATAATAATAATGGAAATTAATAATTGATGATTACCACACCTTCCTAAGAGATTTTGAGGCTATGACGTAATGCATAAATTCTAATAATAGCCTCTTGCATAACTGACTCACAGACGCCTAGAAACAAACAAATAAAAAGAGACTGCTACAATCTCATACCTTTATTTTAAGAGATGATAAGGTACTATATAAAGACACCATTGTCAATACATCATCAATATCTCTCAAGGCATCCACAAAAGTCGGATACCTCTCCTTCACCATACGGTCGAGGGTGTACAATGGTCTGTGCTCCTCGAGACTCGCAATTTTAACTTTGTCATCATCATTGAAAGCTCTCTTAAGCTTCTTGACAAATATCTTAAAGTCCCTTCCTTTTTGCAGTAGAGGCTCGTGTGCCAACCAAGCAATGTCTTTACGGTAATAGTACGTCTTGTAGACCGAGCTACCCTTGCTGACTTTCCGTCGGTGGCGAGGCTCTTGAGGATAAATACCCTTGAAGATGCATAGACGCCTGTGGAATGGGCGTGGTTAGTGATCACGTGATCTTATTAACTGACCTGAATTCAGGCATTGATATCTGTAGCTTCCTCATTGCTTGACTGCGTGAGTAGTAGGTGGTTGCAAGCCCACTCTCTCCCTATTAATGTGTAGAAATAAGATAAAATAAAAGGCATTAGTGGCTTACTTTCTTTTTTTCTCTACCCATGATTCTCACTTGTGAGACCACGTGTGTAGGCGTGGTCCTAGCAGTATCCGGAGCATTGTTTTATCCGGATAGCTACCGCTTTGCTCAACACCCACGCAACTTATTGTAGTGGGTGGGGCTGGTCTTGCATTGTTGAAAAAAACTTTGTTAAAAGCAATGGAAGTGATGCAATATATTGTACATTATTGTATGTTGCAGCAAAATTATATGAAGCTTTGTGATAGTTCTGAGAGTTCTCTGTTAACCGGATTCTGTACAGTAATGTCAGTATTATTACCCCTCAGAAGATAAACAGCTACAACTGCTATGATGGCTACAGCACTACATAGCAGATAACCCAGCGCAGCTGTGAGGATAAAAAATGAAGTCAAAAAATGGAGAATTTATTAAAATTATCATTTCTATTATATCTGAATATTTCATACCCTTGTGTTCTCCTTTCGCGTCATTCTAGCTGTAGCAACGATTGCTTGTGTACCAGGTTCAACATAGGCTGCTGCTTTATCAACATTATATTCAATATTATCAGCAAGATCTCCCTATATACATAAATGTATAAATATGCAGAGTGCAATTGATTAATGTCCTACTTGAGGCTCATTGAGAATGAGAAGCATAAAGTCATGGAACATGTCATGAAGTTCCTAAATCAGAAGGCTAGTAAATTATAAATTCAAGAGACTAATACTTTTAAATTTTGCTCCAGTTCACGTATTTCTGTTCTTCGAGCCTCTACTTCATCAAGAACTTGTTTCTTTTGAGATGTTTGAATCAATACCTAAATATAATAATTAGAATAACACAAACAGGAATGAAATTGCATAATAAACTCACATCTTGAGTAAATACAGACACTTCGTTTAACTCCAACATTTCTTCAATTTTTTCATCAGATAAATGAGCTTTAGAATCAACTGCATAATCATTAATATAAGTTTTATGTTAGTCATACAATAATAGTCATACTACCTATTCGCATTTGTCTTTTTATCAGAATCTTGCACGTTTCTTTGTACTGTTCCTCCTGCTGACTATAGACTGACATGATATTATTTAGTTTACGGCTCAATGCAGAACACTACAAGTATAAATAATATTGCAAATTTTTACTGCCTCATATAACAAGCTAGTTGATGCTTTAAAATCAACTACAATACTAGGCAGATAACTTACATGACTTTTCTTTATTCTTAGTTCAGCTGAATTTCTTTCAGGGCCCAGTTCATCACGTTTAATGTCATCCTGAAAGCCTAGAAAATTAATTAAAAAAAGAACTTATTAGCATGCATGCTTAGCTATTTACGCTTTAATCCTTTCTGAACACTCAGTGACAGCTGCTTAATCTCTGCTAGAATTTTTGTATGACTCTCTTTCAAAGCTAATGTGCAGCAGAATAAAGAGTATAGTTGCATAACTGAAAAGCAAGACAAACAGGTGTACCTCCATTTTGAATTGGTGGTCTACTGATAATTTCATTTTGAAGATGACGAATTTCATTCAACTTCAGCTCAATCTCATCCACTTTCTGTTTCAATTCAGAAGCCTAAAGACAGTATATAAATCAAAATGTGTTTTGCAATTATTTCAACACTAGGAGATATTAATCTACTACATTTACTTGAGCAGCATCATACAATAAACCAATAATAACAGAATGCTAGGCATAATGTCTGACCTCTAAGAGGACAATATCTTCCTCATACTCATTCTCATCCTCTTCTATTTCCTTATTCTAAAAAAATAAAAGTTCTACAGATACAGCTACCTATAGTCAACTCTTACTCTTCTCCTAAGCTCTTCGAGCCTATCAACGAAAATTTCAGCCATCAAAGATATAGAAAGGGGCGAGGGAAAGAAGGAGAGAGATAACATAAACTCTGCAAACTGATTGAGGGTGAGGCTGGAAGCAAGCTAATTAACTCTTTGCCTGACAATTTGTTGTAGAACTACAACAAGGTAATAACAATTAATAAAAAAGCAATTACCACGCCTCTTTTTAGGGCAAACACGTGCGTTTTACACAAATTTACAGGAAACCACACCTTCTTGGCAGAAATTGGTATTGAATAATATTAGTGGTAAAATAGAAACCATAGGAAAGAATAGAAAAGTGAAAGAATGCTTTGTCGGCACTTTGATATAATTGCTATTCAGCACTTTTTTTTTGCAAAAAGTTGATTATTTGTTGATGATATTGTAAAGGCAATGAAACTGGTTGTAAGTAAATGCAGCAGCTAAAATCTATGTAGGTGCAAGCAGTTTAGGTGCTTTGGAGCACTTTTAAGTGAATGGAATAGAACTTGCAGGTCTACTGAGAGCTCTTGAAAGGCACAAAGATACTCTATGAAAAACGATCAAAATGGCTGATTGGGCGTGGTCAAGAGGTGTGGCGTCGAAAAATGGATGATTTCCATGACAACATAAATAATTCAAAAAGTTGTCCAAAGGATTAATCTTTGTGAATTACTTTGTGTAAGGAAAAGGGTTAATTAAAAGTTATTGGGCGAGCGCCTTTCTGATTGACACCCACGCAAATTATTTTAGTGGGAGGGGCTGGTCTTGCATTGTTAAAAAAATTTTGTTGAAAGCAATTAGAAAGATGCAATATATATATTGTACATTACAATTTTATGTTGTAGCAAAATTATATGAAGCTTTGTGATAGTTCTGAAAGTTCTCTGTTAACCGGATTCTGTACAGTAATGTCAGTATTATTACCCCTCAGAAGATAAACAGCTACAACTGCTATGATGGCTACAGCTATAACCAGAACAATGATAATAGTGGTCACTACACAGCAGATAATCCAACGCAACTGGAGGATAAAAAGAAAATAAAG